AGGGATGCAAATCCCTCTCGCGGGAGGGGACTTATGGAGGAACCCCCCTTGCGCCCACTGCTACAGGAGATCGTCGCCTTGCGGGCGGGAAGGAGAGGGGGAAGGAGGGGGGGGGGAGGGGGGGGGGGAGCAGAAGGAGAAGGAGGAAGAGGAGGGGAAGGAGGAGGAGGAGGGGGAGGAGCATAGGGGGGAGCAGGAGGTGGGCGCCACCGCTTTGAGAATCCCCCATTCAGGTGAAGTCGCAGACTGGGAGAGACGCGCCGTGGAGAACACGCCGCCGCACGTGGTCGGACATCATTTGGAAGATCGTTGCTTCAGGCGAGGCTGTGTGCCCTCTCTTCCAAGTGCCGTTTGCAGGCGAGAAGCTGCTGACGTTAGACTGGCTGCACGTCGTTGACCTTGGAGTGGCGGATGACTTCATCGGCTGCTTGGTCTGGTACCTCGTAACGCACAGAAAGGTTGCAGGAGCTGCTCAGAAAGCCACCGTGCTGACGCTGCATCGTCATCTGATGGCGTTCTGCGACAGGCAGTCGCCAGGTGAGAAGACCAACCGCTTGCCGAAGCTGACGCGGGGCGTCGTGAAGGGGAAGAAGGCGAAGACGGCTAATATGAGGTGCGGCGCGGGGATGCTCGGATGCTCAGGCACATGGTTCCATGGGCGATGGAAATTGCGGATGCATTCCTTGATCGTCGGGATGGCGCCGGCCAGCGGGCAGCTGTGGAATCGTCAATTCACGCTGGGATGACAAGCTTGAGTCGGTGTTACGACGCGCTGTCTGATAACCATCCATTTGCTGTGGATATTCTTCGTGAGCATTCAATGAAGTTTGGCACGCAGGTGGCAGCTTTGGAAGACGCGCTCCCAACGCATTTCGAAGTTAAGCCGAATATGCACATGTTCCAGGAGCTCTGCATGGAAGGCGGCGAGCCAGCGAAACACTGGCATTACAGGGGCGAGGATTTCGGTGGATATGTAGCTGCTTTTGGCCGAAGGCGGGGTCAGAAGAGATGCATGGGGGCATTTTCGCTGGCGTGCATCGCGAAATTCTGTGGCCAACCGATTCTGCGCATGCTTTGAAAGAAACACCTTGGGCATCATCATTGTCATCATGTGCGAAGCCCCTCCCAGTTGGGGTTTTGAGACCCCTCCCAGTTGGGGCTCGAACCAATTTAAAGTAACAATCCTGTGTCGAACTATTTTTCCCCGCGCAAAAAAAGATCAACCCAAACAAAAGTTCTACCCCCGCATTATAGTACAGCCAGGCATTATAGTACAACTTTGGAATATCAAGGCCTTTCCCTCTCTCTCATATTTCGTTTCCCTTGTCTACTCACCGTCTCGTGCAATCAGCGGCCAGGGAAATAATCGAAGCAGGCGGCTTAGAGAGAGAAACATCCCAAAAAGAGGAAGAGGAGGGGAGAAAGGGAGAGGAAAAGGAACGCAATGGATGGAGGGAGCAGGGCAACAGAGAAAGAGGGAGGGAAAGATGACATATAAGTTCTTCGGCAGACGGTACGAATATCAATAAACAAAGTGCGTTTCGCAGTCAAGACCACCACCGCGGCGTGCAACATCATGAATACCATACTTGGTCAAAGTGTGAGGTAGTAAAATTCACGGACCTGTGAACACGCCGATTGAACGAACATGTTGCGTACCGAGAGTTATCGGCTTTGAACCGAAATCCGATTGCTGCGCCAACCCATGGTGATTGAGGGCTGAAGGGGCGAAAATGCAGACTGCAGGGATATTTGAAACCGCCTCATAAAGAAATGCATACGAGCAGATAGCAATAGTGCCATGTTCGGGTTCAGCATGTGAATCGAAACGGGGGGGAGGAGGAAGAGGAAGATGAGGAAGGAACAAAGATGAAGGAGAGGATCAATATCAATATCTGGAATTGGAGAGGGAACTGAGCGAGAAACTGGCAAGGCAGCCGCAAGATGTGCGGCGGCAATCTGCACCCCAACATCAAGGTTAACCAGAACCAGAAGTGGGTGAGACGGATGAAAAAAAAAGCAGGAAGGGGATGCGGAACACATTTGTTTTTGGGCGGTGTTTGGTTTCGGAGCCGTCTTGGGTGCGATGGCTCTGCCAAGCTCTCCCGAAATGGTTCGGTAAGAACGACGAAGACGAAAAGCCACGGACGGCTGGAACCCACTCATGTGAATTGGCCTCTCACGCTCCGCAACCGTTCCCACACATCCTGTTGCAGTGGACCCACCACGTCGCCCCCACAGCGGCTGAACGCTCCCTGTGTGCCGCTGGCGAGGCTCAGCACCATGAGCAATGGGGACAGGCCCGCGGAGGAGTGCAAGGAAACGCATGATGAATCTCCAGTGCTGGCGCTTCCAGGCCGCTGCGGCTCCCCGGTCCATGGCGAGCGGCGCTCTAGTGCCCAGACTCGCCGCCACCGACGCCGTCTCCGCCATCTCCGCCAAGGCACTGCACTTGGTTTTCCTTCTGGTCTTTGCCACCACAACTTCGCTGAGGTGCCGCCGACCATCAACACGGAGGCTACCATGACCGAGGTCGAGCTCGCACATGACGGCAGCCACATAGCGTACTTCGAAACTCTTCTCGACCATATACGCACGCCCGAATGCACCAAGGCGTTCTGGCAACTGCTGCAGACCCTCGACAAGATGAAGGACGAGCACGTGCACAACGCCATAGCGTTTTTCGACGCTCTCTTCGACGAGATCCGCACGCCGGCGGCGTGCGTGCATCGAGACGTTCGAGCACCCTCTGCAGGCCACCGACGAGACTTTCTCAGCGCCCACACAATGTCAAGAGCCCATGAACGCCGACGCTGCTGCATATGAATCTGAGGACTAGAGATCATCGAGGAATTCTACAAGGCCCTCGAAACCATGCAAAACGGTAGTCTCTCCTGCCGCGAGACGGCTCTGGCCCTTGAGATTGCTCGCGACGCGACCCTCGAGAACAAACTGTGGCAACTTACTGCACCGCCGCTGTCCATATGCATCTTGATCAATGCAGGCGAAACCGACATCCGCCTGTTCCGCGCTGTCCAAGCCACGGTGCAGCACATGTTCGACGAGGGCCCCATGGTGAGCTGGTGAGCAACACGCAACAATCCTGCTAACATTTTCTATGCAGTAACTTCCTCAGGCCCAGCCCCCACGGCAGGTCCAGTTCATATCTGGGTCTGCTCAAGCTCAATTCAGTTCTGTTCTGGGTCTGCTCAGGTTGTGGTACGCTTCCCTGATCAATGCAATCGCCCGTGCATCGTTTCGGGATGGGCTGGTGGGGGCACGCGAAGCGTCTAGGATCTGACACTGCAACGGTTCTGAGTAATCCCTATCGCTCTGCATACGCGCACCCATCTCCAATACCATTCCCTTCCTTAATGATCAATTTCGCTCAATGCCTCATGCCACATGCCACCTGCAATCTTTTTCCGTACCTGGATAGCTGCTCGCACTCTGGCACCGGCGACCGATGCCAACCCCCGCGGAGCGCACACAGTCCGTGCCCATCGTCGGGGAGCGCAGAGGAGGGAGTCCCTCCGAACAACGAAAAGACAAGGCACCCCGCACCCCGCGAGGAGAAGAACGCTATCACCAACCACCAGCTTGTTCTGCGCCAAGCTGGATCGAAAATCCTGCAGGCTTTGAATGCGAGAAGTAGCCGCGTGAGTTTCCAACCGTGTTTTGTTCTTCAACGTGCTGGCTGGCCTCAGGTAATTGGCAAAATGAGGTGCCTAAGACCTTTCCCTGCCTAAGACGACTTCAATACCCTCAAGGAAGTTTCCTAGAGATCCCCCAGAACCCCAAAAGTTCGCATAGAGGGACAAGGGTCCTGAGGATCCTGGATCCTGGGGCTTCCCTGAAGTCGTTTTGGCCCTGGGGCTCGGGGGGGCCCGAAGAGGCTCGAAACAGTGAACCACCTCAGGACCCCTTCTCGTGGCAGACAGGGCGCAATAAAAACCAGCGAGTTGCCCTGAAAGAAAGTTCGGGAGGGAGCCACCGAAGGGACGTTGATTCGGCAGGATTAGACCACCTGCTGGCCAGACAAAGGTCTGCTGCAAAATCGCCCCTTGAAAGACGAAGGTCTTCTCCTTCTCCTCCTGCTCCTCCTCCACCTTCCGTGCTGCTTCCTCGCAGCCCCGCACGCGCGTGGACGCGCGTGGGGCGATAGGGGAGGAGAAAGAAAGGCCTTGCGCGGGAGCACGCGCGGTGGAACAGAGGGAGGGAGATAAGGAGAATGAGGAGGAGGATAATGATAATGATAATGATAATGATAATGATGATGATGATGATGATGATGATGATGATGATGATGATGATGATGATGATGAGGAGGAGGAGGAGGAGGAGGAGGAGGAGCAGGAGCAGGAGCAGGAGGAGGAGGAGTGAAGAGGCAAAAGAACGGACCCTTCCACTCCCCATCCTCCTCTTCCTTCCCTCTGCTCATATTCCTTTCCGTTATCCTCCTCCTCCTCATCACTCTTCTTCTTCTTCTTCTGCTTCTCCGTACCCCATCCTAATCCTATTCCTTCCCTTCCTTCGTCCTCCTCCTCTGGGCCCCCCTGTGCAATCAACGGGAAAGATATGTGCGTAGGTCCAGCGCTTGCCTGGGTTCCGCTCCCTGGAGCTCGTGCTGGGCTCTTGCCGCGCGCCGGGACGACTGGCCCCCGAGGCAAACGACGAGCCGCTTGGAGGAGGAGGAGGAGAAAGGGAGGGTGTGCCCTCTCAAACTCTCCATCCCAAACTCCAGGTACACTTTCCGCCAAGGCAAACCCGTGGCCCCCCTGGCCAAAACATGCACCTGCTTCCCCTCTCAAGCCAACCATGCCGTTCCATAAGACGAATCCAGGACGATGATAAAATCTGAGGGGGATAAATTGCGAATCTCTGAGATCCGGCGGCTCTGGAGGATGTCTCGGGCGCCGAGGCCTTCTCAGAGAGTTCCGGAATGCTCTGAGAGCGTTCTGGAACGCTCTGGAACTGATCTTGCCCTCGTCCCAACCCCGCCCGATTCCAGACCAGCCCCCACGCCCGCGTTACCGGGCCAGCTCATGACGAGCCTCCATCGAGACTGACCCGGCTGCGGCATCGAAAGGGCCCCCTTGAGCAATGATTGCACGGGCTGGGCCGTCCCCCCCCTGGCGCTCCCAAAGGCTACGCGGCTCAGCTCTTCCGGCGATCCTTCCGGGCACGGGAGCGCGAGCCTTCCCGCCACGGCGGCCGCGCAGGTGAAGGCGAAGACAGACGTCGACGAGCTCTGCTCCCATCCTCTCTGCTTCCTCCCCCGTCGTGCCCCTTCCCGCCCCTCCCACCCCCTCCCTTGCACCTCTGAACCTCTCTCTCCCCAATTCCCACCCTGTCCTCCCTCCCGTCTTGTACCTCTCCTCCAGCCCTCTCCGCTGCCCTTCCAATCTTCATTCCTCTCCTCTCCCGTTCTCCCATACCGTCTCACTTGCGTCACCCTTCCTTCCCAGTGCGACAAAGTAAAACTGCGACCTGGCATAAACGAACAGCCAGAGAAGTGTCAAGGTGCAACCTCTGATGGACCAGCGCAGAGATACCTGAACCCCCACAGACGATGACAAGAGTAAGGACTTTGCTGTCTTCGCGCTCCTATGTTTCCAGACAAAAGCTCGCCTCAACCGAAACTGAACGTTCAAAAGTTGCGGCGAGCCCCAGCCCCCGCTGTCCGGTGCACAGGGACTCTTTCCCCAGGACCCCTCATGACCCCCCCCTCAAAGCCCCCACGATGCTGTGAGGCCCACTGGGAAGGTACGCCGTGGCCCCACCAGCCAGAACGACACGGAGCATACGGATCATGTACACAAAAAAAACACAGGACGATGAACACAACATCGGTTGCTCGCGCCAAACTGCTCGCCTGACTTAGATCTCATTGTGAGTGGAAGCCCCTCACCCCGATGAAAACACAATCAGTCAAGCGAGCCGCTATGTCATCATTCTTTCTCTCTACCCTACCCTCCTTGCATCGCTGGGAGACCTGTGCCTGAGGGACAAAACTGCCAGCAATCGAGGGAACATGTTGTCTGCTGTCCGTCATGCGATACGGAGACGCCCGCCGATACCCTGGTGTAAGGTGTAAGGTGAGGAGGGAATGGTGGAGTAGAAAGAGCAATATAATCTGTCCTTGCCAACCCTGCATGAATACTTCAGTGAGGTAAGCGATGAAAGCAAGCTGGTCGTACTTATCTCCATCCGAAATTGTCTTATCGACATGCCCACATTCGCCTGGCCCTCATGCGCAACCCTTCTCCCGAGTAACATGCCCTTGTGCACACATTTGAATGGCTGCGACCCCGTGGACGTACACCACTGCACTTGAAACTTGACCAAACGACACTATCTTGAATGGCGCCCTCCTCTACAGCGAGGGCTCTGCCGCAAGCCTGTCTTAAGTAACATCCGTCGAGCACGGGCCGAGACCTCTGCGGTAAGTTTGCCGATTGAGCGCCCACCATGGGAAGCTTGCTCGCAGACGTCGGTCCGCCACCTCGGAGGGAATATTTGGGCTACTGCGTACCGAACAACGCGTAACTTCCATCTTCACTGGGGAAATCGTTCTCCACCAGAACTATGGTGTGCGAGCACCTTGCCAGCCGTTTGCGCTTGTCGCTCGTGTTTCTTGAGATGTGGAAGTTCGCGGCGGCGACAGTCATGGAAGCGAACTCCTGCTGGGGCCAACACGAGGATGTCTGGGCCTCCGACGCCATTGTTCCTGCCATGGAACACGGTTGCCCGCTCGTTCTCCCAATCCGTCCCGCGCATATCCCAGAAATCTGCGCGGACCTCCGAACGTTGATGTGTATGATTTTTATGATATAATATTGTTGTCTTGCAAACAAATGTGAACCAAACCGCTCAAAATCTGTCCCCAAACCCCTCACATGGTCCATCCTGGCCCGTTTTTTCGACGCGGATCAAGCTCTAGCGGCGAGAAGCGTCCAAGACGCCAACAAACACGGAATACGCCAGGGCATGTTCAGTCCTTGTCCCGCCCACACCAGTAATGTTTTTTCCCCATCTCCAGAGTGAGTGTCATGTTTTCTCTAGGCACCCCGCGCAGTCTTCACCTCGCCCCCCCTGTCCTCCTCTCCTGCTACACCGCTCACTCATGTGTGTGTGCGTGTGTTAATGGGACACACAATTTCGTCATCATCGCCATCATCATCATCATCATCATCATCATCATTATCATTATCATTCTCATCATCATCATGGTCGTCACCATCGTCATATTCATCATCATCATCATCATCATCATCATCATCATCATCATCATCATCATCATCTCCAGCACCGCCCCGAGGACGACTCGCTAGCGTTGCCGCATTTTCGCTGTCCGAACGCGCAGAAATGTGTTCCGAGATCAAAACGTTCGCCCCAGTGAAACAGTAAAACTCTGAACTGTGAGGGGTCCAGGGATAACGGGCCCAGACAAGGGCGCGAAATTCCGCGATGCGATTCCCAGTGTCGTCTACCATGATGACGCCACTGGCAAATCTACTGGGCTCTCGAATGGGATGTCTGGCGCACGAGCCGTCCACGAAAGGGCTCCCCCATCACTCCATGACAGGGCGCTGCCCATTGGTTTTCGCAATATCTTCGCGGTGCCACGCATGGGCAGGACCATCGTCGAACTCCGAAATGTTACAGGGGTGGGAATCGGCCAGCTGGCGAGCAAACCAAATGATAAAAACGAAGATGTCGTCACTGGCCGCCCTGGCTGCCAATGCTGCTTTGACGGTGCTGGCGCCCGCTAGCTCGGCTCGAAGCTCGGCCGCAGGGCCGCGGGGGTGCTCCCAGGGCCGGTGGAAGAAGGCATCTTGGCAGCCGCAAAAAGGACAAGTACACTTGATACTTTGTCCTAAACACTTGGCCCGAAAAAGGCAACAACAAAACAACGGCAAAACTCCGAGTCCTCGCCTTCTGCGAGGCCGTGCATCTCGTCCGATGCAACGCCTCGCGGGCGATGTCATGGCAAACCCGCGGAAACGCCGTCTGCTGTTCCCCCGAGTCTCGCCCCAGCATTCTGAGGCGCCCGTCCTTGACCGCGATCCCGGCGAAGGCCGGGGGGGGGGGATTCCAAGGGGGGAGGCTAAAGCCGCGATCGTTAATCAACGTCGCGAAGTCCTCCATGCGCCGCCCCGGGCGAACTGAGGACGTGCGAATGGCGCTGATCGTGCCCGCAACCGGCCTCCAGGAGTAGGCGGGCTGTCTGAACGCCAACGCCCGAGCCCGCCTCATGGCGGGGATGGGGGGTGGCCCATTGATGGGCAGACCTGGCCGAGTCGGGGGAAAAAGCGGTGCGGTTTGCGCGGCCGTCATCTTAAATTGGCGGCCGTTGTCGTCGGCCGGAGTCGCGAACGCGGCCTGGCGCGCGAGGACATCTTCCGCCGAATAAGCAAGAGGCTTCGATCGCTCGCGCCCGTGACCTCGGACCCGTGGGGCGCCCGCGCGAGGGGCCCGGGCGAGCCGGCCCTCCGCGCCGTAGACCGGTTGAGCACGCGATATTGCTCCTTAAGCCGGCAGGCGCAACGAGCTGCTCCAGCCAATCGAATTTTCATCTTGGCCGAGGGGCCAGCCGCCCTGACGGCGCGGCCAGCCGCGTAGTCAACGCCAATGTTGACTGCGCTGTCCGTGGACATGCCTCCAAGAGCTCGCAGCTGCGACGAGATGTAGTCGCCTTACTCCTTCGAGGGCGCCACAAAGACGACAGTTTTGTCCTAGGCAAACAAGCAACCGACAACTTTCTCGATCGCCAGCTGGAGCCCCCGGGCTCCGCTGACGACTGCCCTGGGCGCCTGGCGGGGCAGGTCGGTTCATGCAATCCCTTGGCCATCAATGTAGACGTCGAGGTCGAGATTGCGACGAGGGGCGAGAGTGTCGCGGCCGTTCCGGCAGCGCAGGACAACCCAAATTAACGCCGCCGCATGAAGCAGCCAGCATCGGCTCCACTGATGCAGAAAGAAATACGGCCCCGCAAGCCAGACTCGAAGACGCAGGAACCCGCCGCGCCGATGAGCACAAATGCACATGCGGACGATGGCGCGACGGAAAACCGTCTCCCGCGCATCTCGCGGCAAGTTCAGACCATATGCTATTCTGCCCCCAGTCCATGGTCACGAGGCGCCCGCGGCGGCCCCGAGCCCAGGCCCAGGGTCAGAACGCCCCCGCTGGTCTGTGGCCGCCAACCAGCCGGGGGCGGAGAGCGAAAAGAACCGTGGAGTGCGGGGGGGCGCCCGACACCCTCCATCGCATGAGGAGACCGAGCTGGGCGCTTCGAGCGCGCTGTCCGAAAGCAGGGAGAAGTGGCGACGCTCGAAGCCATCGACCGACTCCGACGAGGCCGCTCGATAAGACCTCGCACTGATCCGCAAATCGTCCGCGGCGAGACGAAGAAAAGGGGCCAGGCAACGCGCCGCCCGGCTGAGCCCCCGCTCCTTGACCCCAAGGGGTCGCGAACCTATCCCCTTCCGGCTGCGAGAGGGTGAGAGGGTTGCCGCGGGCGCGCCCGTCGGAGGAAAGGGTAGGGGTGGGGCTTCAAGGCGCGGGGTCCTTAGTGGGATTGTGCGCTCGCCTGGCTCCCGGGGCCAGTCCGGCGCGCGGCCGCGCCGACCAATCCGCCCCGTTCGCGGCGGCGTGCTTGCCGTCGGCGGCCACGGCGGCGCCCGGCGCCCTAGCGCGCAGGTCGGCAAGGGTCTCGACATCCCAGCGGGAGGGGGCTTCTTGGGGCACTTGCTCGGAGAGGGGCGCGTAGTCGGCGCGCGCCGTCGCAATCGCAGCCGGGGGCGCCCGTGGCAGAGCGCCCAACTTCCGCGCCGAAGTGGGCTGGGGCCGGGGATCAGCGCGAGACGCGCGCATGGAGGGCCGAAGCCGCTGCCCGTGCCACTGGGCGGCCCGATGCCCTGGGCATCTGGCCTGCCCATCTCGACGAGGGATGGGCGCCCGAGCCCGCCGGGGGCCGACCCCTCGAGCCCCGAGCATCGGGGGTGGGGCGCCGACGATGGAAATGAGTTCGCGCTCAACGTGGTCGGTGAAAGCCCGGCGCAGGGGGCCGAGCAAACGGGGCGCGCTCCACGAGTCTCCCACAATCGCCCTGTTGGGGGCAGCCTCGGCTGACGCCTCCTCGCCTTCCCGGCGCGATTCTTCCGGGGCGGGGCCGAGCGCGGCATGGCGAGGCAAGGGCGCGGGCCCGCGGCGCGAAAGGCCCCGGGGCACGGCCGGGCGGGGGCGGGGAAGAAACCCCGCAGGCCGACGGGCAGAGAGATCAGTGTCTACAGCCGCGTCGACCGACCTGATGCCTTTAATTAGCAGAGCCTCCGCAACGCGCGCAACGATCGAACGTCGTCTGGGAGGGCTGCGGGGCAATGGGTAGCGACCGAGGGGGAGATCGAGCTGCCGCGCAATTCTGACACGAAGCTCAAAGATGTCAACTCCGCTGGCTCGAAATTTTCATCAGCCCCGACCAATCATGGCTGAGCCCCAAGCTGGGCTAGCAGGTTGCGGTTGGCACCCGAAAGCAACTCCGAGTGGCGAAGATGCGCCGACGCGCGCGCGATCGGGGGGCTGCCGGGGGCCTCGACCTCGATTAGACAACGTCTCGGATTACTGATCGCCTCTGGGACCTGTGTGCACCCGGGCCAAGTTCGGACCAAGATCGCGACCCCTCCGCTACTGCCCCGGGCGTCAGTGGGGACCGCTGGGGCCCATGACGACTTCCAGCCTCGCTTGATGCGGCGCCGCGCGCTCGCCTGGTGAATGTCGTCGGGCATGCGCGGCCGGTGCTACTGCGCGAGCATAATTTGGGCTTGCAGGTTTCCAAATGCAGTCTTCATCCGTTTCCGCGAGTGGGCATTGATGGCGCGGGCACCGAGCGCCACCATGTCAGGAGAAGCAGGCGAAGCCTGCGCGCGAAGAGATAGCGCTCGCGACGGCCTGCGACGAGGACGGGGCCGGAGCGTCCACTCCAGGCCCCGCGCGCTGAGACCGCTGCGTCAGATCGCCGTTTGAGAGAGAAGGTTGGGGCGAGGCGGGGCTATCCACCCCAGAACCCCCCTCAGACCTCGAAGCGCAAGCAAGAGGCAGGATATTGGAAAAGCAGCTGAAGACAGGCGCATCGATGCGCGGCAGACATCCTGAGAGACATCACAGGATATACCAACTGCGGCAGAGAGAAATCGATGGGCGCCTGGCCCCCTGAAAAGTCGAAAAAGGCACTCACTGGATCTTGGTTGACAGACCGAGAGCACGAGTCAACAATATCGAAAGAGCGAGCTAGCAACGACCTCCGCCGAACACGGGACTGAGGCTGCCGCGCATTACTCACGCCAGCGGTTCGACAGGGGGCAAGCTGGAATCCTCGCTTGCGCAGCAGTGAAGCCTGCGCGGGCGAGGCGCTCCCGAGGCTGGAGGATAATACATCGCGACATGAATTGGGATAACCATGGCCCCCCTGGAGGAAACAGGAACCCAACCCGATGGTAGGTCCCAGCCGCCCGCCCACCAGGCACCTCAAGTCAAAGCCTCCGAGGGGCAGGGCAGGACGAAGGCGGGGCCCCACGGGCCTAAGCTGCGCCTGCAGGGGCGCGTGGTTCAGAAGATGTTCCTGCAATGGTGTCAGCGCGTGCCCGAAGACCGGCCGACGACGCAGCAGGAGCGGACGGGGTTGATGCCGAAGTAGCGGGTGCTCCGCCGAAGGCTCGGTTGCCGCCACTGCCGCAGCGTCAGCGCCAGCCTTGGAAGCCGGACGAGAAGGCTGAAAGCCTGGAACACGAGGAGGCCACGTCGTTGCATTGGGACGGTCGTCCTGGCGTGTGGTAAGGCCGTCTGGAATTCCACCTGGAGTTGGTCCTGACCAGCTCTTGTGCCACGGCGCCCAGGACAAGCATCCTGTACCGCTACCGCCAGCGCTGCCTCCCGCCATGACTCCGATGGGGACGTGTTGGAAGGCTGCTCCAGCAGGAGCTCGGACTCGGACTCGGACCTGCAAGGTGCACGCCAGCGGGGGCGCTGCAGGCGGGCGCCATGGCGCCATTGTGTGAAACTAGAATGGCAGCGGGCTCAGCGCCGGTTGGCGGCGGCATGTACGCGTGGAAAACTTGAGGGTCGAGACCCCTCGAACTGAAGAAATTGCAGACGAGCCAAGTCGGTTCGCGACAGCAATGCGTTGTTCTGAAGGATGCTGGAAACCCACAATCTAAGAACTTGGGCCAGAACGGCTGAAGGGAAGGAGGAGGAGCAGGACGAGGAGGAGGAGTGGGAGGAGGAGGAGGAGGAGGAGGAGGAGGAGGAGGAGGAGGATAAAACACGCAACGAGGAAGACGAGGAAGAAGATGAGCAGGAGAAGGACGCAGAGAGCGGAGGGAAGGCCTCCGCCAGGCGAAAAGAACATGGCCAGGGCCAAATGGCATGGGTTCTTATGTGGGGCCCTACCGTCGGAATAATCACAACTGTTATTTCTGGTAGCAATCATTGCCCGGGGGGGGGTCCAGGCCCCCTCCCCCTCCCCCTCCCCCCCGTACGATCGCTACCGTTATGCAACAAGAGGTGTGTACGGAGGGGTCCAAGCCCCGTCCCCCTACCCCACGTACGATCGATATCGTTACACAGCAAAAAAAACGTGTGGGGGGGCAGGGGTCTGGCCGTTGTAATAGTACGTAGCGGCCGTTTCACGCCACTTTCCATCGCTCGGACGCCCATTCCCCGTGCATTTTTCGGTTTCGTGTATCTTCTTTTGCCCGATGATCCAGGATGCTCCTCGGTGGCCCTCGCCGAGAAAGATGCACACGTCCGAGCGCTGCCAAGCGCCAACGGATACAACAAAAATGATCTCCCACCTTCCCACTTCGCGCCCTCTCCCTCCGCCCCCTCGAACACCTCTTATGGCCCAGACACCGCTCTCCACGGGCGACCTCTAGGGGTCTCTGGAGGCCCCTGGAGGCATCTGACGTCCTCCCCTCTCCCCCTCCTCCTTTTTCATTTCAAATGTTGTGATCAAAGGGGACGGGGTCGCAATCCTCCCGGGCGAGCAATTTTAGACCCTCGCCCAGACCAGCTACGACAAGGCGGCTTTTTGCGCAAACCCCACTGGAACCCTCCAAGACAACTCAAATCAGACCCCCCTAAATCAGACCTTCCCTTTAAATTCTGGAATTCGGAGTAGCCGCCTTCCCGGCTCGAGGGAGTGGGTGCAGTTTCCAGGAGGCTGCGATCCCTCGGGAATGCTGCCAACGTGTCTCCCGACGGTGGCAACCACATAGCTGCCACGAGGAGGCCGTGCTCGCGAGGTTCGGCAACGAGAACCAGGCTGGCACCGTCGTGCTTGTGCAGAGCCGCAGCGCCCTCTCATTGTAGAGTCAGGCCCAGCACTGGCCACTGCATGCGTTTGAACGCCCGAAATGGGTACGGAAAAACTCTTACGATGCCCAATAACACATGTTGTTCAACACCGCGGCCTTCTGTCTCAAATGGGCCACGTCCGCGGCGGCGAGAACAGCGAGACCAGTTCAAAATGAACTGGAACAACTGTTAGTCTTCGTGCCCATTCTTTCCGTACTCTGTAATCGGGGGGCCGACGGAGCGCCCCCCCCCGCCCCCTCAAGGCGCATCCCTCCACCCATCCCTCCCCCCGACGGCACGCGCCCATCCCCCCCGAAGCCAAAGGAGGGGCGATTATCATGCCATCTAGAGAGCCCCCGACCCGGGGAATGGGACCCTGGGCGCTCGGGCCCGGGACGAAGACCGGGGGCGGGGTAGGATGGAAAGGGGAGAAGAACGGGAGAGGGAGGAAGGATGACCAAGCAAAATAAGGGCCACGGCCACGTTAACGGCGATGTTGGTGAACGGCGATGTTGGGCATCTGGTTTTTGCGACACCGAGCTCGCGCAGAACACATTGTAGGAACACGCGGACAACGCCTTCCTGCAATTGGGTTGGCCATGAACCTCCCCCCCTATAATACCGAAACCTACATCGCCGTCACTGTGTCTACGGAAGGGAACGGAAGAGACAGACGCGAGAAAAGAAGGCCCCCCCGCCGTCGCGCCTCTTCGAGACGGGGGGTGGGACCCCAGGCGCTCGGCCCTGAGACGAAGACCCAGGCTGGGGCAGGAGGGAAATGGGAGAAGAACGGGCAAGGAGGGAAGGCGGACCAGGCAGAAGAAGGGAACGGAAGGAAGGGGCGCGTGAGAAGAAGTGACCCCCTCCCCCGCCGCGCCTCTTCGGGACGGCGAACGCGAGGCCCTCGCCGCCGAGCGCGACCTGCTGTGGAAGGCGGGCTTCCGCGCCCCCAGCGCCGTGGGCGGCGTGGCGAGCCGCCGCCCTCCGCTCGTCCCCCGCAGGTCGGTCGGGCCGCTCGGGGTTGCGAAAGAACGTCGACGTCGACGTCGACGACCTCGACGACGACGACGACCTCGACGACGGCGCGACGAAAACAAGCGGGTCTGACGCGAGATGGCACGGCGACCTTACGCGTGGGCCGCCAGCGTGGCACGCCACATTGAAGACGAGGGCGCTCACGCGCGACCTTACGCGGGCAGCTTGCGCCAATGTCGGTGCAGGCGACGCAACAAAAACGAGGGTCATCTGCTCTGACATTCGCTCGTAAGTTGCCCGCGAAAGGTCGCGCGTGAGCGCCCTCGTTTCCAATGCGGCATGCCGCGCAAGCGGCCCGCGTAAGCCACCACGTAAGGTCGCTGTCATCTTGCGTGGGACGAGACCCGTTTCTTTTCGTCGCTCACATTTTTTGGGTGTCTGCTGGGAGATGAATGGGTGGTGAAAAGTAACAACACGACCATGATGAGCAGGAGAAGGGAAGGAAAGGGGATGATAAATGCGGCTCACTCCGGGTCAGGTTGGCCAGCGCCGAAGGGGGTCCAGATCATCGTTCTCCCTCGACTCTTCATACCCATTTTCCCCCTCCTCCCCCATCCCTCCTTCTACTCCCTCTTCCCCCCCTCCTCCTCCTCCTCCTCCTCCTCCCCTCCT